AGGGCTCCGTGTGCCGTGTGATACCTCTTCTGAGGTGTGTTCTGTGTCCCCAAATCCATGCGGATGGGACATAGTGACCGTGGTCTTGTTGGGAATAGGGCCTTTACAGATGTAATCAAGTTCAGAGGAGGCCTTAGGTCTTGGATGGGTGGGCAACGACAGGTGTCCTTGTAAAAGGGAAATTAGACTCACTCGCGGAGAGAAGTTCATGGGACTTGGACGCAGAGATGGGTGAGGAGGATGGGTCTCCAAGCCAAGGAACCGAGGACAGCTGGCCACCACCAGAAGCTGGGAGAGGGTTTCCCTGCAGCCCCAGAAGGACCAGCCTTGCCCTCACCCTGATTCCGGGAGTGAGCGTCTCACAGGCAGCGTGGAGAGCTCCGGTCCCTGCCCACCTGCCCGGTCATTGTCTCCTGGGCTCCTGGACAGAAGCCACAGGAGAGGAAGGGACTCCCGGCTGCAGCCTCCAGCCTAGGGTTGAGGAGCAGGAGAAGGGGGTCCCTGGGGCACTGGCCCATCCCTGCCTCCCTGGGCACCTCCCATCCTGTGCCCTGACAGGTGGACCAGGGCTGATATCTGCCCAGAGGGCCTGAGGACCCACGTGCCAGGGAGACTCAAGAGCAGGTGTGACAAAGTTCGTCTTCCATCTGTCTCACCTCCTCCAGTGCTGCATATACTCAGCACCCTCACTACCCCCACCCAGGTCTCTACGGGGTCTCCCTTCTGTCTTACACCCTGGACCCCATGCCTGTCTCTCATCCAGTGATTTCTCTGGTGCTAATTGGGAAGAGGGTGTCAGTCTCCCTTTTTGTCAGCACATTTAACAAATGAAGTAAATCCATTTATTCCCACGGAGTGCTTGGAAGGGGTCTGGCCCACAGTAGCTGCTCAGTGAATGAGTGTCAGCGCCCTCCCCAGGCATTCAGGGCAGTTGGTGGACAGGAAGTTCTGTTTCTCTGGAACTGGTGAAAGGGCTGGTTGCAAACATAAAAGATTCCATGAATGACACAGGGGCTGACAGGTGGGCAACAGGGCAAGTGGTAGAGCCAGGTGCTGGTGTGCGCACATGTGTGCATTTGTGTGTGTGAGTGTGTGCTCCTAGGAGTGTCTGTGCATGCAAGAGATGAGCTGAAGATGTGGGCAGGGCCAGGTGTGAATGGTCTGCCGACTCATGCTAGGTTTTGTGTTTATCCTGGGAGCACTGGGAACTGGTGAAGTGTTTTAAGTGGACAAGTGGGTAAGACTGTGGGGGGCAGCACCCTAAATCCATTGGCATTTGGAAAAAATCGCCCTGCTGCGTGCAGGACTGACCCAGGTGGGTCACGTATTTGATGTCTTAAATATAAACTATCACTCAGTGGAGCATTTAAAACGAGCAATACCGTTCATGCTGCTGAAGTTAAGCTCGAACATTGGTTCCGATGGGACTTGCACGCAGATCTGCAGACAAAGGCTGTTGCGTCAGACACTTGTCCCCCAGCCTAGATAAAACTGTGGGTTGGGGTTTTGCCTGATGTCTCTTTACAAATAATAACATGATTGATCTATTAAGAGTAATATAACACACAGTTTAAAGTATAACCTTTAACTCGGTGTCTTAGTCTGTTTGGGCTGCTGTAACAGACACCACAAACTGTGGGGCTTATTCATCTCACTGTCTGGAGGCTGAAATCCAAGATCAAGGCCCCGGCAAATTCCCTGTCTGGTGAGGACCCTCATCCTAGTTCACAGACAGCATCTTCTCGCTGTGTCCTCACAGGGTGGAAGGGGAGAGGGAGCTTTCTGAGGTCCTTTCTACAAGGGCAACTAACTCTATTCATGACCTAGTCACCTTCCAAAGTCCCTGAGTCGTAACACCACCACCTTGGGGATTAAGATTCGACATATGAAATTGGGGGATACTGGCATGCAGCCCATAACACTTGCATTTACCTTTTTTTTTTGTTTCCATGCATCAATTTATTTAGAAAATTCTGATACAAAAATAATTCTGTTGATCCAAAAAAAATGTCAATACTATAGTTATCCATGTCATGTAGAAAGGGTAAGTCCTCCATAAGCTCTTCCTTCCAGAAGCCCAAAGGCCTTGGAATAGGTAATGCAGACATTAGCCTCCTCCCTGTTACTTTTTACCAAAATTTGGTACACTGTGTGCAGTTTCCCTTTTGCTCTGGGTGATAGGGCTCAGGGCTGGTCAGACCTGGTGGTCTGGTCCTACGGCAGCTAGAGCAGAAATAGCTTAGGGAAAATGTATAAATCTATTTTTAAATGAACAGGTAATTCCAACCCACTTCTGTGCCAGCTCACACTCAAATGGAGAGTGAGCGCCTGTTCCCCACACCCCTCCTTCATTGACTCCTTTCTGGGTCTTCATCTTTGCCCATCTGGTAGGTGAAAGGTCAGCATGGAGATGCCCTGTGAGAGGGGATGGAGTGTGGGGTACCCCTAGGCTGCAAGGTCACCCAAACCCCCTTCTTCATCTCCCTTCACCAGCCGGCCACCGAGCCACAACCCAGCTGTCTTCCCTCGCATCCACCTCATTGACCCGGGTGCAGACTATTCGGGCAGACCCTGGGTGCTGCCCCCTTTTTCCATCCTTCTGACCGTGGTCCCCTGCAGCCCCTCCCGTGGGTCCTTTCCAATGCACGTGCTGTCGAAGGGCTCGCTCTAGCCCAGGCCTCTCCTCGCCATTCCCCTGCTTAAGACGTTTCGCGGCTCCCTGTACCCTGCAGACCAAGTTCGCAGCCTTGTCTGGGACGCAGGACCCCTTCACCTTCATTTCGGCGGCCTGTCCTCTCCGCAGGACCCCGGTTTGGGCAGGAGGGATGGGTCTCACGCTCCCGGACTTCGCTGTCGAAGGGCTCGCTCTAGCCCAGGCCTCTCCTCGCCATTCCCCTGCTTAAGACGTTTCGCGGCTCCCTGTACCCTGCAGACCAAGTTCGCAGCCTTGTCTGGGACGCAGGACCCCTTCACCTTCATTTCGGCGGCCTGTCCTCTCCGCAGGACCCCGGTTTGGGCAGGAGGGATGGGTCTCACGCTCCCGGACTTCGCGCCCACCCGCCCGCCTTCCGGCTGGAACACTCCGCGCTCTTCTGCTTGACCAGCCCCTGGACTTTGCTCAGACAGCTCCCCTGCGCCCCCGAGAAGTGTGCGACCACCCCCGTCTCCCACCCCGGCTTTGCATCTGCAAAGTCTGCCGGGGCTCCGCGTCCGTCGCTTCAGTTTCCTGCAGCCGTTTCGCGCACGCGCGGGAGGCGTCCCGGG